CTGCTACTAATGGGGGTAAACCCAGATGTAACTGCTGTTGATGAACATGTCCACACACGATCCAGAGACTTTTTGTGTCTGCACCGACATGCGTTTGCCACATGACCATTTAATTTATTTTAATATTTCACTTCTCATTTAAAGGGAGCTCCATCATTCATAGGATCTTTCTCCATGCATGAAATAACTCCATTTGTTATTTGATATCTGTCTTCCTATGTGGCAGTGAATGCTGGACAATCTCCTCAAAGATGAAGAAGAGACCTGAAGTAACAAAAAAGTGGTTCTACAGAAGGATGCTGAGAATACCATGGACCGAACAGGTTAGCAATGACAAAGCTTTAGAGAAAATACAAACAAAGGAAACTTATACTTAACATTAGGAATAGACAGTTCAAATTTCTAGGGCACATAATGAGGAAGGATGGCTTGGAAAATCAAATGCTCACAGGACAGGAAAACAGCATGTAACATACTTAGTGAACTTGAGTAAATGGATGGTATAAGTTTCAGGAGAAATAACAAAAAGACAAAATTTATTAAGAGCTACAAAGAACAGGAAATTGTGGAGAGCCATTATCATCTACATCCTGAAGGAAACACAGTGCATAAAGAAGATTAACAATTTCAATATTCAAAAGAATAAACTGCATACATTAAATCTCCAATGGTTTAAATATTTGAGTATAAAAATCTTTTTCTTTTTACCTTGTTACTGATCGGTCATAGTCTGAAAAAAATGGCTTCTGACATGAAAGTATATATGAACGGTGTGTTATGGCAGAAAAATTGCACCCACTGAGATTTGTCAATGCTTACCAAATGTTTACAGAGACTAAACTTTGTATGCAAGCACATTTAGGTAGTAGGTAATGTAATTCAGCAGTGATGGGTGTGACAAGCCATATTCTAAACACAATATAATGTCTCTCTATGAATGAAAATGCATGGCCCATAACAGTGACTATGTAAAAAAAAAAAAGTAGCTTTTGTAGCAGAAAAAATTCTCTCTCCAATGGTGTTATTGCACTCTCTGTAGCTGTTGTAGTTTTCATGGAAATATACAAAAGGTATTACTTTTGGAGCATCCCTTGTCCTTTATACTAATATAAACATATTGATATTAAAAAAATTAAAATTCAAGGAAAGTGTATTTAAGCACATATTTTGTCATAAACCATGCTGAAGATGAGCAGAAAAATTATCCCTTGTAAACATTTTTCAGTTTCCCCTTAATCTTAAAAAGAATGATGGTGCTAGCAAGGTATTAAAAAATATCATTTTTTTCTTCAAATGATAAAACGATAAATCTTTTAGGTCATCAGAAAGAGTACAGGAATTAAATCCTATATATATTTTTCAGCCAATAAAATCCAATCAGAAGGTTTGTTGGATAAACAATAATTATTAGGGCAAATACCACCAAAATATTTTCAGACATAGTTGTAGACCTACCACATGTTATTTTTGGACCATTTAGAAAAATTCAAGAAAAATATTTTTGCAGGTCAATGTGAAATTATCTTCTAACCAATGAAAACTTTGTATTCAAAAAGTTCACACAACTATGTGCAATTAGATTTTGAATCCCCTTATGGATATAAAAATAGAAGTCTAGTGCTTCTTGAGGCTCACAGCAATTTCAGAGGCCAGTTTGATCTACATGTGCATATACACACATGCAATCACACACACAATGAAGAGAGACAGCCAACAGCTGCCAACCAAGGCCTTGTCCCTGTACACAACATAAGGGTTTAACCAGCAACTGCCAACTAAGCCTTTTTGTCTATGAACTCACAAACACATTAGGCTGACCATCATCATAAAGTAAGTCTGTTCACACAGCACTAAGAACATCTATTCTAATTACTTAATAAAACAAACTTCACTGCAAGAAAAATTGAACATTTTATTGTCTGTATATCTCTGAAAAGAATAATGTCATTTCAACTGACGTTATTTGACAGTATATTGAATGTACACCTGTATTTAATTCAAAGGTGAAACCTTTCTACAAATCTTAAAAATTTAATCTTGATTATAGGTTGGTTAGAAGATAATTTTTCCTGTTGAAGTAGGACTTTCTGGTTACTATCCTTTCTGCCACAAAAACTATTTTTAATTTTTTTTTTTTTTACATACTTTGATAAAACTTCTCAAAAAAATAAGAGCAGACAATTCTACTTAAATTTAAAAAGAAACTTTTTTGTCACATTTTTCAGACTTCGTGTGGCATGGTGAAGAAAATGGCTACTTCCGATGTCAAAACTAACGACAACATGTCATGTTATCCTGCTGGCGAAAAATGAAGGCTCACTTGACTTCCTGCTTTATATACAGAATGTCATGCAAAAATCATTGACTTACATAAGCAGTGCCCAGAAAACCAGGAAAGGTGGTTTTCTGGTTCTTCATCCTTCGAGACTGGGGTTAAAAATCCAATTACCTCTCAGCCATGTTTTTGTCTTTTTGATTTTTTAGACAGATCATGGAAACATTTTTGCTAGAAGACCTGGTCCTGGGGATTCCAACACTGCACCTCTTTGAGGGAAGGTTGATGTACAGTAAATTAAATACCAATGTCAGCATGACAATGGTTGCAGGGACTGGGTTATTTGGGGCCTTGGCTCATGTGTATGCGGATAAGCAACCCACTTTAAAAAGACCATGTGTCACTTCCCACCAGTGGTGGCTCAGGCAGGCTTTTGAGTTGACTAGTGGATTTCTAGAACTCTTCAACTACACAAGTTTATTTTCTTTTAACTAGTGAATTCTATAGGCTGCATATTACACCTGATGGAAGTCAGAATGTAGATTTATTAAGCTAACTAGTATAAAATGATGTTTTTAACAACAAAGAAAAATGCAATGTGTTTCATTACTAAAATTTAGAAAAAAATTTTCCGTTTCTTCTTTATCGCAAAATAACTTTTTTTTTTAATATAATGAACAGAATGGTTATTTAGTATTTAAGTTAATTAGTAGAAACACAAGAAGAATAAGAAGATCAATGTAGTAAGCTCCCCAAGAGAGGATCGAAATCACAGGGAAAAAAAGGTCTACGTGTCAAGCATTAACTTTTGCTCTGAGCCACAGAGCATAAGTAAAAAGAAAAACGCCTTCATATGTGTATTTAACTTTTCAAGAGTAGAGGGCAAAAAAAAAAAAAAAACTTCCAGGAGAAATATCTAATTATTAATTACACTTGCAGTAATTGTATATAATAAATTATAAATAGGTAGAGTTTTTAAAGATATTTTTATTTCGTCTAATTGGGTCCAATGAAAAGCGGGTAGGGAAAGTCGTCAAACAAAATTTAGTAAAAAAAAAAAAAAGTAATTCTCTTTGAGGCTAAACATTAGTCACTTGAAACTTTCCTAGTGACTAGTGTTTAATTTAATTCAGGATTAAATTTAATTTAAATATAAATCTCAAAATATCGGATAGTGAAGACAAGAATCAGTTTCAAAGTACTTTTTTTTTTTAAACAACTTGTTTTGTTCAGCAGTTTTAAGTGCAAAAAAAAAAAACCAAAAAGAAAGTACCAACTCTGTATGTACTTAAAAACATTTTAAGTTAAAATCAATTAAAAGCGGTATTTATTTGCTTGAATGAATGTAAAAAATGAAAAAAACGAAGCAATAAATTCCATTGGGTGAGTAAGTAACTAATTAATAAAATAAGTATTTTTTTATTTATTTTTTTTTACTCTAACTCTCAATTTAACTTAACTTCTTTCTTTCGCTTGGGTTGGATTTCGTTTCCTTTTGGTCCAGGTCAAGGTTTTTTTTGGGTGGGTGGGTTATGACTAACAACAGATTTTTCTTTTAATTCACAAGAGATAGTTTTTTGTTTTTTTGTTTTTTTTTCAATCTAATCATTAACTGAGGGTCAATTCCTTTTTAAAATTCATTATTTACAAACGTGTAAATAAAAAACAAAAAAATTAAATCACTCTCCTTACATTGTAAGCCTTTAACAATGATCGAACACCTTTTAAAAATTTTATGACACTTAGACATCAAAATAAACAAGTTTATCTTTAAATTCGTTTCCAATCGAGAATATCCTTGCCTTAAGATAAAAATCTTTTGACAAATCGCAAAAATTAAATACCATTCCCACAATCAAAAACTGTTTATTTTTTCGAGACTTAATTTAAAAAAAAAAAAAAAAAACTGAAGGAAAATCTTTAAAATTTTTATAATACAAAAATTGATTATCATCATCATCATCATAATACCCTCAAAAGATTTTTTGGTGTTATGATATGTGGCATAAATTTAAGAAAAATATAATTGACAATTACAAAGACGTGTGTTGTTAAAGAAAGGAAAAAGTGAAGAAACTGAAAAAGATTGTAAATTTGTTTAGGTAGGCATAAATGAAAAGAAAACGATAATTCCAGTAAATTTTAATTTTTTAATTTGAAAGTATTCTAGCATTAAGAAATATTTCAAGTTTAGTAAAATAAAAACAATTCAAGATTAGATAGTATTTTTCTTAATCATCTCACTTAGGAGAAAAAGAAGACGAGGATTACGACAAAAAATACATTTTTTCATAAATAACGAGCCTCACCAGCTCAGCAACGCTAAAAGGATCCTTAGCAACTTTTAAAAATATTGTAAAAATGTAACAATAAACAATATTATTGTTTATTACTTTCTAATACTTGAGACTAAGGAGGGATAAATACTGTTAAGTTATTAAAAAAAAAAAAATAGATAAAAATTAAAATTATTCAGGATTCAAATTTTTAATAATCAATCCGATGTTGATAATTAATAATAATTAAATTAATTAAATTTTGAATCGGCATTGAAATAAAAAGCAACAAACAAGAAATGGTCTTCTTTTTTTTTTTCGATCCAATCCACACCTTTTTCTTTTGAAAAGACTGACAAACACCGTCTAAAACTTAATGGATATATTTTTCAAAATTAGATGTGTAAGTAAAAGTTTAAAAACAAAAAAAAAACCGGGTAAATAATTACCAGCAATTTAAGGTAAGAATGTTAAGAGTCTGCATGTTTCCCGCTGGGTGCAAAGCGAGCAGGGCGTATACTTTTTCGCGTGACAACACTGAAGTGCTGTTACCGTTATCTAATTCGTTAGAACATCACCTGGAACTTGTATACGTTAAGTACAAATGCTGATTTTACACCGCTTTTTTTTTTTTTTTTTTTTTTAATTAACAGCACACGCAACAGGACTGTGATTTTTCAAGGCTTATTGTCCGTTGCTCAATTGGTAAAGACTAGAACAACAAAATCCAGTCATTTAGTTAAATTATGGTTCAATCAGGTTTACAAGTTATTAATACTTTTTTAACCTTTTCATTTGGTTAGTACACATATATAAATTTAGTGATAAATTATGAAAAAAAAATTTTCTGGTTTAAAGTTTAAAGATTCAAATTCGAGCCTCGCTTTTGAATTTAAAGTTTTCGTTAAGAAAGTATTTTTAATTATTTAATTTTTCTTCATTGAATTTATTTAGACGTTTACTTCAAATGATAGACTATGGGATACCTACGCAAATATACTGTTCTTTGATTCCACAAAGAATTTCAACGGTCTAATTAATTAATTTAATGGCACTTCCCTCAACAAATGTAATGCACTAAAAAACAAATAATTGGCAACTTTTGTGGAATTTGTTTTTTTTTTTATTTGCCTCAGTGATTCTATTTTTATTTTTTTTCATATATTTTTTTTAACTGCGCAAACTGCTGAAGAGAAAAATTCTCTAGAAGGTCGAGGAATAGACGAAAAAAACAGAAAGATGCAAAATAAATACAATAAAAAAGAATTATTTATTAAATGTATTGTAAACAATAAACTTAGTAAAAAATAAAATTTAAATATTTTAAAGAAAATCCCTTTACACTTAAAGAAACAGATATGTCCTTATTAATTTTTACTGAATAAAAATGATTTCACTTAAATTAATTACCAATATATGTGGAAGAGAGAGAGTTTGATGGTGGTGGGAGCCTGATTGAGTGATTGATTTTCAAATATTGATTAATAATTGAGTTGAAGATTGGCTAAAAAATTAAAATAAAACCAGAATCAGCCCCTTTTTGGGTGCTTGACTAAATTTAAGAATTATCTTTGCTGTCGTTTTTACCGCAAATAAAAATTGTATTGAAATGTTTGATGGAGATAATTTTACTTACCTTGGAATTGGAATGAGAGTTTTCAGAAGGATCTCTGCGAGGTACCTCCAAAACCAAAAAAATGCATGCGTTTTTTTTTTTTGTTTTTTTTTTTCGAAATGAAAGCAAAAAAATGCTACCCACTGTTTTTTCAAAATTTACCAAAAAAAAATCAAGAATTATCTAATTTAAATGAATTTTTCAGAACTTATTCATTAATGAATAAATTTTATATGGATAGATTATTTTAGAAAACAGTAGAAATTTATTTGAAGGAGAGCGTCAGTCACCCCTCTTTCAGTACATCGTGAATAATTTTGGGGAGTGATGACAAATATTTTTAAGTTTATAAACCATCTAAGACTGTAGAACTTAGTCTGTCCTACTATTTACCCATAGACGGGGGAGAAGAAGAGGATTCATACCTTTCATAAGGGTATTAGCACGTAAGTGAATGTAATGGATTCAACTGGATTCAAACTCGGCTCTCTAATTCCTCAATCTGAACTGCTATCCCTTACTCCACCGTGCCTCATAAACATCAATTGTAAGAAGACAGAATGTATGGTTGTCAGAAAAAAGGAACAGCCCAAGATGCAAACTACAAATTGAAGATGTCAAAATCATGCATGTACAAAAATTTAAATATTTGGGAAATGTTTTAACAGGGAAACATGACATCAAAATCCAAAGTTGCATTTTGGGATAGCAAAAGTTGCATTCCAAAAGCTAAGCAAAGTATTAGGAAACAGAAAAATTTCATTAGAAATAAATGTTGGCTAATCCCACTTCTGACACTGGATGTTATAACGAACATTTGCAAAGGAAAGAAACAAACAAAGATTAAGATTTCAACAACAGGGTTGGTTGATTGAGCAGAATATCTCTGTTGAATTCTGGTCAAATGTGGTATTAACAAGATGGAGTCATGGTGGTGATAGGAAAGGAAGCCTGGAATAAATAGTTATGGCATTGAAGGGTGGTGGTGAATGGCAGTGATGGCATCACTTCACATGCATGCTGATAGGTGGTCTTTCAGCCAGTAATTGTGTTGGTCGTTATGAAGGGTTTGTATTGGGTTTCAATCCATCCCATGAGCAACACACTGAACCAAGATGAGCTTTATGAACAAAACACTAAGAAAATCTCATTGCTTTAAAACAGAGAAAAAACAATTTTGGTACAAAAATTCTTTAGAATTTTTGTACCAAAATTGTGCTTTCTAGCAATGCACGTCAGTGATTTGTACATTGATTACAAGATAAGCTTCTAAGCAAAACAACACCTGCCTCTAGTTAAGCATGTTAGGGGCTATAAACAATCTGAAAATATTAGCCCTAAACAAAAAAAAATTGAAAAACGTCAGTTCCTTCTCCTCATAAACCCTCCAGGGGGTTATATATAGAGAGCTTAAAAAAAAATACTATATAAGTTTATGATCAGCTAAGGTAAGAAACCACATTCACCCATAAAAATAGCAGGTTTTAAATATTTGAGTATATGTAAACTGAAGTGGATATAAATTAAAAAAGCAATATACTGGATGGTTTTGCTCTTGCTCATTGTAAAAATGGCCTCAGCTGAATGATGTGTAATGTAATAAATAGGTAAAGAGATAGTATAACTGTGTCAGCCATGTTAGACTATAAAAGACTGGTTTTATGTGAGCTGGTCAAACAAGTTGTGTTTTAAACCCCAATGATCATGTGGGGGTTTGACTGATATGCTTTTTATGGTTTATCAACCCTTTGTGAATTATTTAAAGCCAAAACTTATTTTAGATTGTAATAATAATTATTTTTTTGCAAGGAAATATTGGATTAATGATTTTTTGAGAATATCAATGTTTTTTCTAGATACAAATCATACTATTTATTTATTTAATCCATAGTTAGTGAGCAGGAGATGGGTTCATAGCTTTTGCTTTTCCAAAAGTATTGGCAAGTGAATGTAACAATCTGCAACTTTTTCATTCCAAACTGCTTTCCCTTACGCAACCTATACATCCGCATATAGAGTGTGAAGTACCCCCACTTGGCTTTGCCAGGTTTGTCAAGATGCTGTTAGGTTAAACAGCTATAAAACAGGACACTCCCTGTTTCTTCCTTTTTTTTTTTCTTTCCTTTCTACATGCTGTAGTGACAACACCAACATGGGACCTGTGCTCAGCATGGGGACATCTTTCCCTGTGTGACTGAATTCTTTCACACATGCATACACACATGTATTACACACAATTCATAAAAACTAACTTTTACTATCTGTCTATATTTCTGAGATGAGGTATTATATACACTATTTACATTGTTCAGACTATCATCCTCATCTTTGTTACCATATTTATCACAACATTTCAGACACATGGCACAGTTGATAAAGGCGTTAATTAGATCCAGTGACAGGACCCAAAGAGTATGAGTTCAATACCTGGCTAAGGTGGTGGAGAACTTGGAGAGGGGAATTAACAGGAGATAACTGATAACTGACATCCATTAGATATGGCATGTGGAACTAGAACAGTCCACCCCAGCAAGTGAAATAAAGGGTTCAGTTTGACATTCCAACAACCTGAAGAAGGCCAGAGCATACAACGGCCAAAATATTGTGATAAATATGGCAACAAAGATGAGGATGATAGTTCAAACAATGTAAATAGTGAACTTTTAGTGTCTTCTTTTTTTCAGATATATTTAGATGTATACTAATGTATTTTCTTGCCTTTGTTAATCAGGTAAATTATATAAAAACATGAAAATATCACCTTGTTAAAATTTATTTAATTTCCTTTCACCTCTACTAACAATAACAACCTGTCATGTACATGTGTAAATTTTGTTTGTCATTGCTTTTAGTTAAACTATAAGCACGTACTGCAACACGGGGAAATGCTTCAGATTAAATTCCTTGCAACCACACCTAACAAACAAAAAGCATTTATAGGCAGCTGTAGAACATGCCTGGATATATAGACTCATGCAACAATACTGGCACTTTGCTTATTCAATGATGCACAGACACCATTGTTATTTAGTTTAAGGAAAGTGCTGCACATTATTAGGTAGGTGTGTCTAATTTTTTGTTCTGTTCTAAGGATGGTACAAATATATACTGAAATATTAACAAAGTTTCTTCATTTTCTTAAGGGATTAGCTATTGATTACAAAATTATTGATACTTCTTTCTTTTGCTTATGAGGGATGCTCCAAAAGTAATACCTTGTTTCCATGGAAACTACAACAGATACAGAGAAACACAATAACATCATTGGATAAAGCAATATTTTAAGTATAAAACACTTATTTTCCATCATTGTTACCACCCTTGGCTATGCATTTTTTCAGCAATTAACAAAAACCTTAATTTCTAGGCTTTGTATTTTAGATGCTGGCATCATTATATAAAATGTGTCAGAAAATCTAGCATAAAACCTGCCCATTTATTTTTTGATTCTATATCCACCATTCTGGGGAAAAGTTTATGTGTCTATTATATACGAGGGTGGGCTGAAAAGTTCATAAGCTGACTATGAACTTTTCAGCCCCCGTCCTTGTAGGTAGTCACTTATTTGTGTATACTTTTATAAAAACTAACAAAAAATGGGGGTAACAAAAATGTTTTAAATTACCATATCATAATGAAAAACTCAACCAAAAAGCAGCTGAATTGGTTTATCAATCCCGCTCATCAAGGACAAGAAATATACAAAACAGTTCATAGGATGGAAGTGTGAGTTACCCAATTTAGTTTTGCCAAACACCCATTAAACAGTGCTGTTTAAGTCTATAAGAAAAAACAAACGTATCCTCTCTTTCTTTTCATCCTCCTGCTCCAAAATGTAGCAGAATGTAGGTAAGGTTTCCTCACTGGGATGCATTTGTTTCCCTGTTTGACAGCCAACTAAACTCTCACACACATGTGTATCACACATGTTTGCATCATAAGC